GCTCCCTTCCTTCCTCCTCCGCTCACTTCCTTACTCCTCTGGCCACGCCGCTCAGTCCCCTCCTCTTCGGAGCATATTGCTCACTTCCTTCCTCCTCCTCGGGCCACGCTGCTCACTTCCTTCCTCCTCCTCGGGCCACGCTCCTCACTACCTTCCTCCTCCTCGGGCCACGCTCCTCACTACCTTCCTCCTCCTCGGGCCACGCTCCTCACTACCTTCCTCCTCCTCGGGACAGGCTGCTTGTGCCCCTTACCCTCTTTCCCAGGCAGAACTACAGGCACCACGCTGGAATTTCGATGTGGCTTCACCACCAGCCACAAATGGCCGTTCTGGAGCCACGGCTGCTCAATCACCTCGGAGCCCCAGGATCAGACGTGACACCCGTGTACAATCCCACCCACTGCCAGTCAGGAGATTGTATAGAATTGTACAGACCACACACACTGCGATCCACTCAGATCTGAGGAATCATTTCCATACAATCCCATCCAATGACAGTGGCCGGATCCTACGTGGCCGACACACACACTGCAACGTCTGTACAATTCCACCCATATCCTTCAGACTGTCATCAAATATTTTGGGTGGCAATGACGGAGCCCCCCACACATGCAAAGATTTCTGTACCACTCAACCTAAGCTCAGAGTGCCTGACTGCAACCTGATTGGCTGCCTCAAGGTAGATCTAAAGCCAAGACTACAGAACACCTCCCCCTCTCATCGTCTCCATTACAAAGGGGAAGGTGATTTGTAATCCCAACACATCCTGATAACACAGAACAGCACTGATCACATATAACAAAAGGAGATATTTTGATAGTCAGGGGCCCCTGATGTGCACTCCCAGGAAGAACTGTACATGATGGAGCCACCTACCTCAGGGGCCACTGATGTCACCATAGAGGAAGAAGCAGTCATGTTGGGGGCACTTATCTCAGGGGCCACTGATGTCATCATACAGGACGTGTCACATGTCACAATACTATGGCAGAGGGGTAGATATGGCGGGGCCCCAGATCTCAGCATACAGGAGGCATTACGGCATGTTGGTAGTCACAGGATCACTACATGGTCGTTATGGTCAACTTGGGGCCCCAGATATCTTCCAAGGAGAACTTGCTGTTCCAGGGGCCAAAGATAAGGCCAAACAGGAGGAACCCACCACGTCAGGGGCTAGTGTACTGATCAATGGAGGGTGTGGCTATCTCAGGGACCACTGGTGTGACTGTACAAGAGGAACCGATCATGTCGGGGGTAGTTATCACAGGGGCCACTGATGTCACCATAGAGGAAGAACCTGTCATGTTGGGGGCACCTATCTCATTGGGGGTCAAAGTCACTATGACTGTACAATACTGAGGGGCCAACACTTTCTGGGGCCCCATAATGACAGGACACACACATGCAGTGGGCCATGTGACATGCAGCATAAACTTATGGGGGAACTCCACATATAAAGGGCCCCCATCAACAAACAGGAAGGAACCTGTTCATCACATGTAAGGGGCATCCACATCTCTGGGGCCCCAATTCAGATATGAAGAAAAGAAAAAAACCTGTGAGGGGCCCAGGCCCCTCCCCCAGGGAAACCAATGACAGAGGCCCCTCCCCCTTGCCTGACAGCCCCCCTATAGGGACCCATAATATGAGTGGCCACAAACAGGGGGCCTCACAGTATGAGGAGCCCCCAGGCAGCCATGTAGGGGCCCCCCAAGGCTACCCGCCTCCCAGGACGTACAGCAACAGTCTACTCACCGGCAGCTTAGGGCTGACTTCCCCTTTACAGTGGTGACAGAAAAAGCGATGCTGAGACACCGCCGCCGCCTCCGCCATTTCTTCTCCCCGTCACCTCACTCCGCCAACACCAGCGAGACGCCGGACAGATCGACCACCCCCTTCACCGCGCCGCTCTATCCAGGGGAGACCAACGAGTGACGCTACTCCGCCAGCACCACAGAGAACTAGGAAAGAGCGCCACCCACAACAAAAATTCTATCCCTAAAGAGACCAGCGAAACGCCTCACTCCTCCAACATCAGCGAGAGTACAGCCAGAGCGCCTACCAGTGAGACGCCTCACTAAGCTTTATTAACCATTGTAGACACGGACAGAGACACATGTATCTGTGTTAGGTGAGTGATGGCTGGGTGGAGGGAGGACAACGTATCCCAGCATTACCTGTCAGCAGCAGGGAGGTGGGAAACTGCTATTATAGAAATGAAGTTTGCTGTTTTGTACAAAAAAAACTTTTCTCTGCTTCCCTTCCATAGGCAGGGCAGTAATGGGGACATTCAAGGCCCGTGTGCATGTACTGTTAAAACCCAAACCCATCTTAAAAAAAAAATTGGCTTTTGATAGGCCTCCTGTGGGAGGATGTCCCCAAAAGGGGAGATCTTGCCTCACTTCCTGTCAGGACAGGAAGTTATGGGAAATATCTTAAAAACAAAAACATATTTAGTGTAGCAGGTGAGAGGTTAGTTCCTCTGACAACATATGTGCCTTCCTGTTCCCGTGACAAGCACGCCCCCCAATTTCCTACATGCGTGTCTTAAATCTTCCCGGGGGGGGGGTCACAGACCGTAATAAACACCTAACATAAACTGAAATGTCCTTCTTTTAGTTTTCCATGTAGTGTCTGGATCCCCGCTAGGGAGATTTGTCTTCTGTTTGTCCTGGTTTTACTGAGACAGGAAGTGATTGGAAATTTAACATTTTGAGTTGCCACCAAGACAGGAATAGAGAAGAAATCTTCCAAAGGCGGACACCTGTTCCACTGAAAGTTCACTTCCTGTTGTGTCTCTGGAGCAGTAGGTTCACGTATATCAGACACCGCCTTCAATAAGAAGCTGAGAGGGGGGTCAGGACCTCTTGTGCTGGGAGGGGGGTTGATGTTCTTTGAGATCAGACCGTGTAGAAAAGAAAACAGAATGAACGGGGTGCATGGAACGTGATCCCACACTGTGCGCTTCTCTCAGGCTCCTCCCTCTCCATACATTGTATATCCCCCACCCCCTCCCTTCTTCTCGTGTTCATGTATCATATCAATGTTCTCTCCCAGATTCCTGGCAGCCATGACGCATGCCCAGGCCAGGCTCAGCTCCCTGCTCCTGCAGGAACACTTCGGGGAGATCGTCGCCCGCGTCGGAATGTTTCTCATCAGTACCGGCAGTCAGCCGCTGAGAGTCATCGCCAAGGACACCGACACCCCCCTGGATCAGGTATACCGGCCGCCTGAGGACACCCTACACATCAGCACCAGAGGAGCTTACACTCTAATGTCCCCTCCCCCACAGTCACATCAGTCTCTGTACAGAGAAGCTTACACTCTAATGTCCCCTCCCCCCCCAGTCACATCAGTCTCTGTACAGAGAAGCTTACACTCTAATGTCCCCTCCCCCCCCAGTCACATCAGTCTCTGTACAGAGAAGCTTACACTCTAATGTCCCCTCCCCCCCCAGTCACATCAGTCTCTGTACAGAGAAGCTTACACTCTAATGTCCCCTCCCCCCCCAGTCACATCAGTCTCTGTACAGAGAAGCTTACACTCTAATGTCCCCTCCCCCCCCAGTCACATCAGTCTCTGTACAGAGAAGCTTACACTCTAATGTCCCCTCCCCCCCCAGTCACATCAGTCTCTGTACAGAGAAGCTTACACTCTAATGTCCCCTCCCCCCCCAGTCACATCAGTCTCTGTACAGAGAAGCTTACACTCTAATGTCCCCTCCCCCCCCAGTCACATCAGTCTCTGTACAGAGAAGCTTACACTCTAATGTCCCCTCCCCCCCCAGTCACATCAGTCTCTGTACAGAGAAGCTTACACTCTAATGTCCCCTCCCCCCCCAGTCACATCAGTCTCTGTACAGAGAAGCTTACACTCTAATGTCCCCTCCCCCCCCAGTCACATCAGTCTCTGTACAGAGAAGCTTACACTCTAATGTCCCCTCCCCCCCCAGTCACATCAGTCTCTGTACAGAGAAGCTTACACTCTAATGTCCCCTCCCCCCCCAGTCACATCAGTCTCTGTACAGAGAAGCTTACACTCTAATGTCCCCTCCCCCCCCAGTCACATCAGTCTCTGTACAGAGAAGCTTACACTCTAATGTCCCCTCCCCCCCCAGTCACATCAGTCTCTGTACAGAGAAGCTTACACTCTAATGTCCCCTCCCCCCCCAGTCACATCAGTCTCTGTACAGAGAAGCTTACACTCTAATGTCCCCTCCCCCCCCAGTCACATCAGTCTCTGTACAGAGAAGCTTACACTCTAATGTCCCCTCCCCCCCCAGTCACATCAGTCTCTGTACAGAGAAGCTTACACTCTAATGTCCCCTCCCCCCCCAGTCACATCAGTCTCTGTACAGAGAAGCTTACACTCTAATGTCCCCTCCCCCCCCAGTCACATCAGTCTCTGTACAGAGAAGCTTACACTCTAATGTCCCCTCCCCCCCCAGTCACATCAGTCTCTGTACAGAGAAGCTTACACTCTAATGTCCCCTCCCCCCCCAGTCACATCAGTCTCTGTACAGAGAAGCTTACACTCTAATGTCCCCTCCCCCCCCAGTCACATCAGTCTCTGTACAGAGAAGCTTACACTCTAATGTCCCCTCCCCCCCCAGTCACATCAGTCTCTGTACAGAGAAGCTTACACTCTAATGTCCCCTCCCCCCCCAGTCACATCAGTCTCTGTACAGAGGAGCTGACACTCTAATGTTGCGTTGCCCCTGCAGGTGAAGAAAGCGCTCTGTGTCCTCATCCAGCACAATCTGGTGTGCTATCAGCTGCACAAGCGAGGCTTTGTGGAGTACCGGGCCTGCTGTGAGCCGTGCCTGCGCATGCTGCGCTATCCTCGCTACATCTACACGGCGAAGACTTTGTACGGTGACACCGGAGAGCTGATTGTAGAGGAACTGCTTCTGAACGGCAAGATGACCCTCACGGCCGCGGTGAAGAAAGTGGCCGACCGCCTGACCGAGACCATGGAAGGTAAAAATAAACATGGTGGAGAAAATGATGATGTCACCGGCTCTATTGATTGGATAGGCTGCATTCTCCGTGATGTCACCGGCTCTATTGATTGGATAGGCTGCACTCTCAGTGATGTCACCGGTCTCTAGTGAATTGATAGGCTGCATTCTCAGTGATGTCACCGGTCTCTAGTGAATGGATAGGCTGCATTCTCAGTGATGTCACCGGTCTCTAGTGATTGGATAGACAGCATTCTCAGTGATGTCACCGGTCTCTAGTGATTGGATAGGCTGCATTCTCAGTGATGTCACCGGTCTCTA